TGCACCGAAGTGTTGTAGGCGAACTCGATGTCGGGGAGGCGGTCAACCCAATCTTTCTGGTCCGGACGGATGAGCGTACGAAGCATCATTTGAGCGGTTTGATGTGCCCGCTCTGTCTGCCCGTCTGTCTGAGGATGCCGAGACGAACTTGGTTTCATTGTTGTGTCGGACTCCTGCATGAGAGCCGTCCAAAATGCCGACATGAAACGAGTGTCGCGGTCGCTGACAATGTCTTCTGTTGCACCGTGGCCACAAATCCAACCAGTGTGCAGGAGGCGTGCTAGCTCGGGAGCCGTGGAGTAGTACTTGGAAGGGAGAAAACGCGCGTACTTACTCAATCGGTCCACAACCGTGAGGATGCCGTCGTGCCCGAGCCGGTCGCGAGGAAACGGACCGGTGACGTCCATGGCAATGGAGAGACCGGGTTCCCGTGGGATAGGCATCGAGTGTAACTCGCCGTAGGGATTGCGGTTGCGGGGCTTGCTACGTCGGCAAACTTCGCAAGAGTCGCAATACCGAGTGACATCGGTAATGAGGTCAGGCCATCAGAATCGCTGTCGAAGCTGTGCAATAGTGCGGTTGACTCCAAAATGGTTGGCGAGTCGTGGATCATGGTACTCGCCGAGGAGGCGAGTCCGAAGACAACGGTCGCGTGGGACACATAGTAAGTCCTTGCCTCTCGAGTGGAGGAGCAAGTACCCGTCGGCAATGCGGTAACGGCTGGCCGGCGGGTGATCCGAAGATAGCTGTGCATAGAGCGTGTCGAAGTCCGGATCAGACTGATATGCCCGGATGAAGTGTCGTTAAAGCTCCTCGTCGAATGCGAAGGCATGATGTGTCATAGCGCAAAGATCAGGTCTTCGCGAGAGTGCATCTGCTGCACGATTGGAGAGGCCGGGGACATGTTTCGGTGTGAAGTCAAATTGGTCGATGAAGTACATCCATCGTGCGATCGTGCTGCTCACTGTGTCCTGCGTCTTGTAGTAGGTCAATGGATTGTTGTCTGTGACCCATGTGAGCCTACGACACCCAAGGAGGAAGTGCCACCAGCGCTTGAGAGCCATCACGAATGCGAGCAGCTCCTTCTTCCTTGCATCATCAAGCGAGTTGATGGGAGGCACTTTGTGGCTGAAATACTCCACAGGGTGCCAGTCGTCGCCGTCGTGCTGTTCCAAGACTGCCCCAATGCCATAGCCGGAAGCGTCCGTAGTCACTCGCGTCGGCAGGGTGGGGTCATAGATGCTAAGGACGGGTGCCATGAGCATAGTCGCCTTAAGTGCATGGAATGACCGGCGTGCGTCGTCATCGAATACAAATGGCACCTTTGGCGACTGTGACCTCATCATAGGTGCAACAATCCTGGAGTATCCGGTGATGAATCGCTGATAGTAGCCCGCCAACCCCATGAATGAACGAACGTCTGTGGTGTTGGTGGGCTCGGGCCATACTCGTAGGGCCTCGATCTTGTCCGCAAGCGGACGGATGCCTTGCGGCGTCACATTGTGTCCCAAGTACTCCAGCTCCTGTTGTGCGAACTCGCACTTGTCGCGGTTTGCTTTGTACTTGGCATGTCATAGCTGTTCCAAAACGGTGCGCATGTGTTCCATATGCTCGTCCAAACTCCGACTACACACCAAGATGTCGTCGAGGTAGATGAGTATAAACCGATCCAACATGTGTCGGAACTCCGTTGCTTGGAAAGTGGCTGGGGCATTTGTAAGGCCAAACGGCATGACCAGCCATTCGATGCCCATACCGTGTCTTGAACGCGGTCTTGTAGCGATCCTCCTTGCGAATCTCGAGTTGGTGGTACCCTGACTTGAGATCCAGCTTAGAGAAGAACTGGGCGCCGCCCAATCGCTCGAGAAGGTCGTCGATGCGTGGGAGAGGGTCGGCGTTCCTGATCGTCTACGAGTTGAGCTTGCGATAATCGATGCACAACCGCAGGTCCTTGTTCTTCTTCCGAACGAAGAGAATAGAAGCATCGTATGGCGATGAGCTAGGCCGAATCCAGCCTGTCCTTGTTCTTCTTCCGGACGAAGAGAACAGAAGCACCGTATGGCGATGAGTTAGGCCGAATCCAGCCTTTCTCTAGAAGGTCATCGAGTTGTGCCCGAAGCACACTTAACTCTTCCTCGCTCATTCGGTAGATGCAACCGCGCGGAGGTACGGCCCCGTCCTCGAGGATGATCTCGTGGCGGATGGGTCGATCCGGTTCTACTCCGTGCGGGACTTCGAACACGTCGCTGTAGGCGTCGAGAAGCTCGGTGATGCGTGGATCTGAAGGTGAGTCCGTCGATGAAGCGTCATGGGGCGGGAGGGCGTGGAGAAAACCCCCCCCATGTCCTCGATGTCGTCTCTGATGATGGAAGCTCGCATGCTTGTGGCTGATACCACGTGGCAGCTGATCGAAGGATGAGGAAGAGGCACCGTGCATGGAACTAGTACTCCGTTCCGATCACAAATGTGAACGGTGCGGTGGAAGAAGTTCACCGGGTGATCCTCGCTTCGCAGCCATGACATGCCCAAGATCATGTTGAATTTGGTGTCCAGAATGCCAAAGGACACCGCCTCACTTGCGTGAGGGGCAAAGTACACTAGGACGTTGTCAATGCACCGGTCGATGGACTTGTGCGTGTGACCGTCCGCCAACGTGACTTGCATCGGCTGGGACTTCCTCCGGACGCGTGGGCCAAGGCTGGCGCGCACCATGAAGTCCTGGCTGATGTAGTTGCGAGATGCTCCGCAATCGATCAAGGCGTTGCAGGTCACCTCTCCGATCTGAATGCGTACATATAGCAATGGTGCGTCGATGTCGTCGTACCGTTGCATCTTGAACTCGCGGTCGATCTTCGCAATGTAAGCGTGAAGGTCGACAACCTCTACTCCGGTGTCCATCAACGGAGCTGGTACTGCAGTGTGCAAGTAATCCCGCATTGTGCCATGAGCACATTGCAATGTGGTTTCGGCAATCGTCCGGTCGAGGGAACGGGCATCCACTGGAAGTCCGTGAACGTCAATGGGTCGAGCTCTTCCAGTCTTGACCATGACGTCGAATCCCCGGCGATAGGTTGCGGCGAAGGTGCCGAATCGGTTGTCGATGGTGATGAAACCGTGCATGCGATGGATTGTTGCACGTGGAGCGGTTGGTCCAGCGGTGGAACCAAGTGGACAGCATAGTCCTCGTAAGTGTAACGAGAACTTGCGACATTCGCGTTCTCCCTACATGTGTAGGAGGCCGCTAGCAAGGCGGCCGAATCTGGCGGAGTAGAAGGTGGAGTCGCCTCACCTTTATCGAAGCTCAGTTTCCCGAGCTGAGGCGGGGTCGCACATCCTCCTTGCCCTGATCCTGGCACAGGGAGGTCTTGTGCTTGGTGATGTTGCACCAATAGCAGCTGCCGTAGCGGCCGCGAACCTTGTACTCCGCCTCGGTCAAGCCGAACTTGACCCATGGAACTTGTACTGGCTGTCCATTTCCGGCCTGCGATGCGGATTTTGCCTTCCCATTGTTGCGGGACTTGTTGTTGCTTCGCGGCTGGACAGCAGCCACCTGATCTCCGTCACTTGATGCTGGAGTGGCTGCTGGGTTATCTCCACTGTCCGACTGGACTGCAGTAAGTGCTGATGTCGCGGACCAGTTCGTACCTTCTCCACATAGGTCGGCGGCCATGTTGACCTCTCATGTGCAGCTGACCTGTTGGTCTTGATGATTTCCCTCGCCTTGTCAATGATCTCAGCGAAGGTTGAGTACTGCTCGCAATCACCAAGAGCCTGGCTCAATGCCGCACAGGACCTGTTGTAGAACTCGCGACGTAGATGCGTGAATGCCAATTCCAGATTGGGCACCTCCGCAATGTTCTGCCACTCCGTGAGCCAATCCCGTGTTGCAGTGTTGCCCTGTGACATGGTGAACAAACGGTTGATGGCGAGTGCCGGCGCGTCGTCGACGATGAACCGCTTCTTCCACAGCCTTGTCGGTTTCTCCCATGTGATTTTGTCCTTCAAGTCCGGTACGTCGACACCGTGAGAGGTTGCCAGGTGGCTCAACCACGTCTGGCATCCGCTCTTTGAGTTCAAGAACAGGGCGCCGATGTACGCATGCTTGGCTACGAGCAGAATCCTGAGTTGCGTTGTGAATGCTTCCCACTAGAGGACCGGATCCTGCTGCGTGTAGTCGTCGAACTTGTCCAGTTGGAAGGTTGGCATCTTGTACATCTTCGGATTGTCATCCGCGTTCGTCGACTGCAACTGCTGGACCTCGGTCTTCAAGGTATGCAGCTGACTGATGATGGTGGTCGGCGCAGCGAAGGTGCTGATGTCGCCGAGCATTTCCACTAAGTGGTCAACGCGTTCCTCCAGTTGGCGGTTAGAGGATGCACTGCTGGAAGCCCCAGCAGCTGGTCCTGGTACAGCCTGTTCCAGGTCCAGCAATCAGGCATTGAGTGCCCGAGTTGCATCCTCGTGGCTCTGCACTGTATGGTGGAGCTTTGCCAACTCCCCATGCTGTTGCGTCAGGTTCTGGTACTGTTTCTCCAACTCGGACCGTTGGTAGTTGCAAGCACACAACAACCGTGTCACGAGTTTGGAGAGGAACTCCCTATGCTTCTCTTCCGGTGTTGCCTCGTCGCCGTTCGGTTCAAAGTGCCAAAACTTGAGTCTGTCGATGCTGGCTGCTTCATGCCGCTGCAGCAGATCCTGGGCTTCCTTGCGGTGAGCCTGGGCGTCTGCGTCTGCTTCGGCCTGTAGCCGCAGCTTCTCTGCTGTTGCTGCTTCTTCAGCCTGTAGTTGGGCAGCCTTGACTACCAGCTGGCGTTGTTCCTCAGCCTCGATTGCAACGAGCTGAGCCTGGAAGCGCTTTTTGTAGTCGGCAATGGGCTCATTGGCCAGTTGGCCTGGCAGGCCCGTCATGTTGCTGACGTGGCACTGCTTACGTGGCACTGTGTCTAACGTGGCACTGCTTACGTGGCAGTCTGACGTGGCACTGCTTACGTGGCAGTGTCTGACGTGGCACTGCTTACGTGGCACTGTGTCTGACGTGGCACTGCTTACGTGGCAGTGTCTGACGTGTCACTGTGTCTGACGTGGCACTGCTGACATGTCACTGTAGCTGACGTGTCACTGTACCAACCCGAAAATGCATGCAAAGGGTGGGTGGGAGGGAAAACGCAGGTAGGAAACCAACCCAACAATACTTTCCTCCGGCCCTAATCAACAGATAAAATAAAATAAAAAATAAAATAAAAGAGGACTACTTCCTTTTTTTTTTCTTTTTTTTGTATATATCTGTCGATCTATGATGAGTAGGATATGTCAGAAGAGTATTATGAACGAGATCTAGGCTAGGTTCCGCAAAGTTTCAGCTTTTACAAACTGCGATCTTGAAAAAAAATTTGTGAAATGGAGTAAAGATGCGATTTTCAGAAAAGAACGAAATCCAGTTTCTGAGAATAT